AGTTCTAAACATCTTCCTAATCTCACAGACATGATTGGATTCAACAATCATTGAACGAGGTTGAGTTTAATAAGTTGGTTTATTTTCTCTTTTTTTATATATTAAAATGAATTGTAGAGCAAGGACATGTCTACATATACACTCTACACAATATATACTACTGGCATGATAAAATAGTCGTCCTATTTCAAATTTCCTACAACGAGAGCAAAAGTATGAATGATATTTTTGTCTTCACCATTAGTTATCTTTATTTTGTATAGAAAATAGACAAGTATTGGGATTTGAGCTAATATATCTTCAAACACAGACAACAAGAGTCATGACCATGATTGTCAATTCGAGTATGACTCTGTTGGTCAAACCAATTCTACCTAAATCTGAGTATCTCAGCGGGTGCCGAAGGCCCGGTTGGTTGTCTACTCGGGCTCAGTCAAAGTCGAGTTTATCTATCTCAACGGGAAATCCGACTGAGTTAACCAACTTATTCGAGCACAGGGCCACTTCAAAATAATGTTGTTTTCAACAATTCATATATGTATCTATGCTGTCATATCATCCTTTTACTTATCACAGAACCCCACAACATGAAGCATCACAGACCAGGTTCGACTATCCCATGGTCTCTTCTTCTTACTTTAGATTCGAGAGCCTACAATACAAGACCAAACCATCTCAAAGGCCATCATAATCCCGCAATAGTAAATTTCATTTTTCTCCAGGTGCACAGTCATAGAGTCGGGCGACCTCATCTCACAAATAAGAAGCAAAAATTATTAGAGAAACATGCATTTGAGTTAAAACTTTGTGTGACTAACATAGGCCAAATTACTCATTTTAATTATTGTTTAATACTTAATTAAATTCCTATATATATCTTATAAATAGAAGATAACTTTAAAATCGCGGCCCAAATATCACTGGTTTGATTATCCATTATCGAATTGCAGTATTGAATATGTAAAAGTGATGTATAATTCTTAAATTAGATCTACTATGACATAATCGTATTCATATCTTTGTGTAAACTATATGGGACTGATTCTTTGAATATTTTAGTTTGCCTAACCGTCAAATTTTAAACTTCTTCCTATTCTGACATGATTGGATCCAACAATCATTAGGAGTTTAAGAATTTGGTTCATTTGACCTTTTTTAAATGTGCTAATGAATTTGTAGGGAAAGAACATGTCTTTATATACACTCTACACAACATATAATACTAAAATGAGAAAATTGTTGTCTCATTTCTGCTCACTGCCCGGGCCCCCTTCTGCTTCTCAGAGACGCCCGAAGCGTCAAATTCGCGGTCTGCTCCAAATAATACCCGGCCGGGTATTTCTGCTCATGGCCGGGTATTTTGCTCCTCCAGCACACTTCACCCCAAACGTACTCCTTTCGACCCGAAACTCGTTTCTTCGCCTCGATGCCAATGCTAAGCCCTGAAATATGACATAAACGCACAACCTAGCGTGAAATCGGCTTAAAACGCAAGAATCAACATCTCAAACGGCTCAAGAATAGGGGTAAAAACATGTGTAATCAATGGTCTATCAAACTCCCCCACACTTAACTGTTTGCTTGTCCCCAAGCAAACCTACCTCAAACCAATGCAACTCTCCAGACCTCTATTGCAACAAACAACCTCGAACGTCGGTAGAGGATTTCCTAGATCATATAGCAGTTTACGAGGTCAACTGGTCTTCTAAGACTTTCCCTATCTCTCTCAATGCGAGTACTAGACTCAAGCCAGGATCATGAGAAGAAGTACAAGTAAGACAGTCAGTTCATGGATAAAGGGACTCACACCAATCCAACCAAGGACTCGTTGTACCGGGGTGCTCTTTCACTTCATTTCACCGTTGGAACCCCTTTTTCACTTTCATTTTATTTTTTCATTCACTTGGCGGGGGTTCCAACTGCAATCTTTTGCACGGTCGACCCTTATTAGTCGAGCAAGAGCAATTTCTGTACATCTGGCGCTCGCCAGATTACATCTTTTAACTCCTTTTCCTCAACTCGTGTGGAGGGTCAATGAAATTAAGGGGGGTCGGAAGCTCTATCAGGCCCTTAAAAACACATCCTCAAGTAGGCAAACCGTTCAACGGGTGGAAGTTTTACTTGTACTAGAGACAGCTTAGCTTCACCTTGTAGGAGTACCCCACTAAGGATCACTAAAATCTCTTCCAAAACTCGATTTTGTGCAATGAACGGTGCCACACACGTTGGGCTTGCCCCATGTTTAAGATTTAATGATTTTGACATGGAGGACCAACTGATTTTCATTTTCCACATGAGCACCCTGTTCGATACACTAGTCCATAACACAATCCAAACAGTGTCACCATTACCACATGAATTCAACGGTCTTAGCTCTACTAATTCACAAAATCAACTGGCACAGCAGAGAGCTAGATAGGAAAAATCGTATACTTCAACATCCTCCATAATGGTACACTACCTCCCTAGGTTGCATATTACTATAGAGACTGTCAATTGAAAGCATACTGAGCAGGCAATTTGCAAGGAAACACGTACTTGGAGCCCTCAAATTTAAAAATTTGGACAGTGGACTAGGCTCCAAGCACACAAACAGATCTAATGCAGTCAAAAGAGAAACATTCCCCCACACTTAAGATCGACATTTCCCTCAATGGAGAAGAGGGAAGGATAAGGAGAACGATGTTACCGGTGTGCATGGACTGCAGAAGACTGGAAGCGGACCAGTCTGAGTGAAGCAGAATGGAGAGGGGACTAGTCAAGGACAAAGCACATCTAAAGGGAACATAAGAACTCAAACACAGAACGTTAGGTCCAATGGTCACCCCAATAGTACACATCCAAAATAAAAAGAAAGAAAAGACAAAAAACCAACACACAAGACAGTTTTGCACTGTGACAAAAATGAAAACAACACAAAACGGGGCCATGAGTACAGCCTACTCCAGCCCGGTGAAGTCGATCTGGTCCATGAGGTCGTCGACCCCATCAGTCGGTGGTGGTGGTGGTGGCGGTGAGTGGTCCCACCGGGTGGACCACTGGTGCTCCTCTGGCGGGTGACAGGACTGGAGCAGGTGATCCTGGTACTCCATCATCCGGCTGCTGCGATCCCGCTCTCGCTCGATGAGAGCGCTAGTGACTCCCATCTGAGCCTCCATCCGGTCGAGGCGCTCATCCACAACCGTCAGCATGGACTGGTACTCGACCTGGTGGGCCGAATACTGTTGGTAGAACTGGACCTAATGGTCCATGAGCTGCTGGTTTTGAAGTCTGAGCTACTGGAACTGGAGCCCCATCTGCTGGAACTGCTCTGTGAAGAAGTCCATCGACGGGCCAGAAGCCATCGACGGACCAAAAGGACCAGAGGAGGACTCACCTCGCTTTGATCTCCGTCGTAGCTGAAGGTCCCCTGGTGGAGAGAGCGGGGGGCTCCGGCTCATCAGCATCCATGGCCCCGCCATCATCATCATCATCATCCTCCTCCTCGCCAGTGTAGTTGTCGTCCTCCTCGTCCTCATCGAGATCTGCATCCTCCTCAGGGGGCAAGGAGAGCCCGTCCACCCAAGAGCGGGTACCATCAGTGGCCAGGAGGAGTGCATTGTGGACCACGTCCTGGCTGAGGGGGGTGGAGCCACCCCGTGCAGTAGAATCTGTGAGTCCCTCGAAGCTGATGTCGAAATGGCGTGCCAGGCGGGTGATAAGGGGACCACAATAGAGATGGTTGGGTTTCCCGTGGCACCGAGAGAAAGTAGTGGCCACGAAAGAACCCAAGTGCATCATATGCTCCGGGTACCCCATCGAGTACATGGCGTAGAGCACCCGCTTCGGGATCTTGTGCGAGCCGGTAACGTTGGGGATGATGGATCGGGGGATCAGCAAATTGAGGATATGCCACTGCGGCTTGAGGGTGCGGACAGATGTCTGGCCAGCGTCGAAGTAGTCGTACCCATAGGCGCGCCTAGCTATCCGGCGGTAGAATCCGTCCTGGTTCCAGTCTGTCAGGTTTGGGACCTCGACCTCGTGGCGTGAGAACGGGTGGTACTCGATTCCCATAGCGTAGGCCAACCCGTCAATGGCCAGCTCCCGTGGGTGGCCACCCATCCTGAAAGTAACTGCGTAGGAGTCCCAGGCCGCCTTGGGACGGTACTTGAAAGTGGTGTAGAACTCCCACACCAGCTCGATGTAGGTGGACTCCTCGATCGTCAGCAGTGTCCGCCAATCCCTGTGGCTGATGGCGGTCGAGAGCTCCTGTATGCAGTGGAGCTGCTCGAATACGCCCCACTACAGATGGTGGTGGCGCTCCAGTCTCCCGCGGGTGACCTGGCGGAACTGGTCCGCGTAGTGTGGGTGCAGGCGCAGGTCCTGCACGAACGGATGGTCGAGTGACATGTTCCTGCAAAATCAACAAACCAAAGGTGGAGCCAAGCAAAACTCGTCAGGACTAACAGTATGGGTTCATCACTTTCCCCACACTTAAGGACCACCTAGGCTAACAGTTTAAGCAAAAACGGTTGAATAGCAAGCAACTCAACCGTAATCATGGCAAGAATCAAGCAAACCGAACAATTCAATCACACGGGCAGCACACACACAATAGCCATAGCCATTCATACTCAAGGCATCCCTCACCCTATCCTAATTCAATCATGCCAGGCAAACACAGTTCTCGGTCCTACAATCTACAGTTCGATTTTCCAAAAAAAGAGCAGTTAACAAGAAACACACCTGGAAACTCAAATAGAACTGTAAACGCGATGCAAAGAAATGGGTGAGGGACGCGAAACGAGGCCAAAAATGACCCGGGAGGCTCGCCGGAAAGTGGCGCCCGGCGGCGACCAAGAGAGGAGAGAGGGCAGAGGTTTTTGAGAGGAGGAGAGGGAAAATTTGGAAAAATGAGGGTAGAGAGAGAAAAATAACCGAGGGTTTGCTTAAATAGCAAAAATCCCCGGTCGGGGCTCAAAAATACCCGGTCGTGTATTTTGAGTCCACGACCGGGGGTTTTGGAAACGACGCGTTTAATGCTCTCTGAAATCCCCGGCCTTGAGCCAAAAATATCCGGTCGGGTATTTTTGGGTCAAGGTCGGGTATTTGCCCTTTTTCGCCCCGGAAGGCAGCAGGGGTCCCGATCATGAGCCAAAAATACCCGGTCGGGTATTTTGGCTCACGACCGGGTATTTTCCCCTTTCGGCCAAAAAAACTCAAAGTTCCACATTTTCGACCTCCCCTGCACGAAAACACAAAACCGAGGCATAACAGACGAACGAACTTCAATACATACATGCAAGTGACACAAAAACACAGAAAAAGGGAAAAAGAAATGCAAATCGTGGTGGGGTTGCCTCCCCACAAGCGCTTCTTTACTGTCTTTTAGCTGGACGTCCATGGCGGATACTCAGAGGGGTGCAAGAACAGGTGCCTCCAAGAGCGGATCCACATTGCTCTTGAGGTACACCTTCAGATTCCGGCCATGCACCCGACGGGTGCGACCACCAGCATTGCTCAGCTCGACCTGGCCATCCGGCAAGATGCAGGCGAGTGAGTACTCGGATGGCCAGGGTGGTCGTGGTGCAGGAGGTGGGACCAGCTCATAGTGGTCTCCACCTTTCTTCCGAGCAAGCTTAGCCACCTGCTGCTTCGGCCGCCACTCCTCTTTGAGCTTTTTATTTGGAGGTGAGGTTGAAGGGAGTGGCGGCAAAGGCGTGAGATGGGAGTCCTGCAAAACGAGAGGCACAGAAGGGTACACGACAGGCTCATGTACCTGGTTAGAAATAGCATGCATAGGTGTGACATCAGGCATATCACAATGATCTAATTCAGCCACAGAAAAAGTAGCATGTTCATTCCCAGCACGCAAGGTCAGTTTATCACTATGCACATCAATAAGTGCCTTGGCGGTGGCAAGAAATGGTCTACCCAGAATCAGAGGCACATCCACATCCTCATTTATATCCAGAATAACAAAATTAACAGGATATGTGAATGCGCCTACTTTAACAAGCAGATCTTTTATGATACCCCTAGGATGCACAATAGAGCGATCAGCTAACTGAATGCTCATCCTAGTAGGGCTAAGTTCACCTAGGTCTAGCTTTTTAAAAAAATTGTACGACATGACATTTATGCTAGCGCCTAGGTCCGCTAAGGACTTCCTTACATGCATGCTGCCAATATCAAGAGAGATAGTGAAACTCCCTGGCTCTTTGCGCTTTTCGGGCAGCTTGTTCTGCAGGATAGCAGAACACTCCTCGCTCAACATCACTGTCAAAAGATCCCCAAGTTTCTTCTTGTTGTTAAGGAGATCCTTCATGAACTTGGCATACTTGGGCATCTTCGACAGTGCCTCCATGAAAGGTATGCTGACGTTGAGCTGCTTCAACATTGCCATGAACTTGGCAAACTCAGTCTCCAGCTTATCTTTATGTAGTCGAGTGGTAAAGGGGAGCTGGGGTACGTGCTCCTTAACCACTGGTTGTGGCTTGGGGGCAGGGGCTTCCTTCTCCACCCTCACTTCTGCATCGTCGGCTGGAAGTGCTGAAGCAGGCATTGGCTCTTCCTCCCTAGTCTGGGCAGGTACCGCCGATGTGGACTTGCCACTCCTGGTGGTGATGGCATTCAGCTGCTGGTGCGGCTCCCGTGGATGGGGATGGTAGTGGCAGGTAGAGTTCCCGGGGCCCGGGTATTGTTCTCACGAGCTATTCCTCCAAGCTGATGCTGGAGGTCCTGCAGTATAGCACCTTGGTTCCTCTGACCTGCCTCCAGCGAGGCGATGCTTTGGTCTATCCTGGTAAAATTCGCTTGGCTGGTAGTCATAAATGCCGCTAAAATGTTTTTCAGCTCTGTCATCTAATTATTTGGAGCCGGAGCTGCTGCTGGCACGGCATACTAACGCTGAGGCTGCTGAAACGGTTGCCCCTGCCTAGGCTGGTAAGGCTGCTGCTGAGGAACTGGCCCTTGTATAGCCTGGAAAGGCTGCCTCTGCTGAAAACCACCTGCTGGTGCTGGGAAACCAGATGGTTTACTGGTGTTGCTATTCCAAGCGAAGTTGGGATGTTGGCGCCACCCCTCATTGTATGTATTGTTGTATGGGTCGAGGCGCCGAGCATTGGCGATGAAGTCCAACTACTCTTGGGGAGTCGAAGACTCCCGCATAGCCTGACAGTCTTCCACCAGATGATTCGAGCTCTCACACCACTGACATTGAGCTACTGGAGGTGTAGCCAAACCTCTGCCCGGAATAAGACTGTTGGGCTGCTTCAATGTCTGCACTAACTCGGCCACCTGCTGCTCGAGCCCGGACCTGGCCTCCATGGCGTGCACACCACGGTCCCGGGAATTTTTGCCTCTGGTGATCTGCCCCCAGGAATGATCTCTGGCAGCCAAGGTACTGATCATCTGGTTCAGTTCGAGAGGAGTCTTAGTAAGAATATCCCCTCCTTGGCATAAAGACTCAATCACCCTCTGGCTTTCTGGAGAGAGAGCACTGTAGAAGTTCCACACGGTGAATGCATCACTAAAGCCATGATGGGGACACTGCCAGAAAAATCCCATGTACCGCTCCCATGCATCACGAAGTGACTCGTCTGGCTCCTGGCGGAAGTGAGTGATCTCTCGTTGAATCTCTGTAGTCTTCGATGTCGGATATTACCTGTGCACGAACTTATTGGCCAGATCGTCCCAAGAAGTGATGGACAATGGGGGATGGGTCTCCAACCACCTCTTAGCATGCCCCGCCAGAGAATGGGGGAAGAGGTGAAGGCGGATTGCATCATCAGGGACACCGTTCGTCTTGAACCCGTTCGTCAGCTGCAGGAAACGGGAAAGGTGCACCCTTGCCTCCTCATCCTTCAAGCCATGAAACTGGATAGAGGATGTAATGAGTTGAATCCTACATGGCTTGATCTCAAAGTTGTTCGCTGGAATGGGCGGATAGAGGATGACATGGCAGATATCAGCAACCCATGGAGTGCAGTAGTACTCCAAGGTGGGACACGGCGGCGGTGGTTGATGATGAACCCCATCTGCGTGGGGTATTGGGTTGTTCCCCATGATCTGGTTCACTGGGGGAACCTGGAGAGGTATCCCCTGGGGTGGGTTATGTTCGCCTTCCATCTCGTACTCGTTCTCGGAATCACTACTCAAATGTCCGTCTATGCGCTTCTCCGTAGCCAGTCTAGCTCGCTGTTGTCTCCTAAGTTGGCGACAGGTGCGTTCAAGCTCCAGATCCAACGGCAGTAAACCTCATGACTGGGTACGGGTCATGCACTACCTGCACACAGTCAAACAACAAACCCGTGAAGGCACAAGTGTGACAAAGCAAAAATGTGAAAAAGAAAAGCTAAATTAACAGAATTCACGTTTCTTCAACAACCTAGCCGTCCCCGGCAACGGCGCCAAAAACTTGACTCGCTCTTATCGTCACTCTAGAAAATGGCCAAGTATAACCACCTCCTAAAGTGTAGTATAGCGGGTTTGGGTTTTGATATCAACCCGGGTCCTAGATGTGATGACTACTCCGTGAGTTCTTATTATTTAGCAGTGAAACTTTAGTGAAGGTCCAAACAAGAAAACAAGCAAAGCAAGTAAACAGGTTGTTTTCAAGTCGAGAGAGGTCACCCGGATATGGTTCCCCCTAGAATGTAGTTAAGCCGGATTGTAATTCACCAAATTCAGGTTCAATGATAGTTATACTGCAGGAGGTTCTTAAACAGTCTGAAGTCTCGACTAAAGGTCTCTAGACCCTCTCAATCTGAGTCTCCAGCGGGCGACTAACCTCTACCTAAGTAAGCAGATTGAGGCCCTAACGAACCAAACCTCCACTACCAAAGTGAATTCGGTACAGAATAGTGAATTGACTCCTCGACTAAAGTCGCCAATTCACTACCTTCAATCAAGGGTGCTCTATCAACCTAGGCAGATATTCTCTTTCTAGGTTAAAGCAGAAACAACAGGAATTCGATCAGGATTCATGCCATTCATCAAGTCAAACCTCAATTGAACATAATCATACCACTGAATCTGTACTTGGGTTCATACAATCAGACCTAACATACAAATCTAGGGTTCTTCATACCCAGGTGAATAAGAAAGTTACTCCATAGAGAGATATGGAAAATCTAGCTCAGATGCGGAAACCATACTGTGAAGGATGGGAATCTACTTCTTGCACTCAATCATGTCTTCTCCAAGCCCAAGCCACGCTCCAATGGTAATGGAGATCGATCAAGGACACTTGCAGAATCACGTTCGTCACCTTCTCTCTCTAGGTATCGTTTTTTTCTCTCTAAAACTCCGAAACCCTCACTTTTCCCCTTCTTTTCCCTTAAGAAGCTGTCTGTCACGATCCCCGGTCTGGATACCCGGTCCTGTATTTTGGGTAGAGGCTGGGTATATTCAAAACGCAACGTCTAGAGAACAGGGGAAAATCCCCGGTTAAGGCCAAGAATCCCCGACCGGGGATTTCTGCTCACTACCCGGGCCCCCTTCTGCTTCTCAGAGATGCCCGAAGCGTCAAATCCCCGGTCTGCTCCAAATAATACCCGGTCGGGTATTTATGCTCATGGCCGGGTATTTTGCTCTTCCAGCACACTTCACCCCAAACGTGCTCCTTTCGACCCGAAACTCGTTTCTTCGCCTCGATGCCAACGCTAAGCCCTGAAATATGACATAAACGCACAACCTAGCGTGAAATCAGCTTAAAACACGAGAATCAACATCTCAAACGACTCAAGAATAGGGGTAAAAACATGTGTAATCAATGGTCTATCAACTCTCCATAGGTAAGCTTTCACATTCCTATCAATCTCTAGAGGAAATCACAATGAAGGCCGAGGCAGGGAGGAAATTGTTGCTTTGATGGACAATCGTCTGGATTTGAAAATAAATTGAAATTGGAGGGGTTTGGCAGACTAGAAGGAGGCATAGATGAAGAGAGGTGGGAGGAAGAATGCTTTGGATGGTCGGGAAGGAGGAGAGAAGACAAGCTTAGGAGGGAGAGTGGCGGTGATTGTTGATTAGATGGTAGATGCCTGATGAGTTTTACCTGCTTTCTCTCGATGCCTGATACCTTGAGGGGTTTTTATTCCGTTCGTTTCTCCCAATTCCAGGCACTAATTGAGACTCTTTCTTTAATTGAAGTGGTTTTGAGCCTCCTTGGTCGGTATAGATATTCTCGGTATAGATTTTTTGATCTGACTGAGTCCTTGGTTGGTATAGATATCCTTCGTTGGTATGGATGTAATGGGCGTTTAGAGGTTCATATCCTAGGCATTTTCCGTTTAAAGTGTTTCACATTTCTGTCACCAATACATAGTTTCATATCATACATGGAAGCTTTCTCTGTTGTAAGATTTGTTGCTTGCTGATAATTTTATCTGTATGTAGAGGAGATGAGGTCAACATGGTTCTGTGGGGAAGACTTCTATTACAATTGGGGAGCATTGTAGAAGTTACTGGAACAACTTCTCTCATATTGGGCATCACCTCCATACAAGTGATTAAATGGATGGGTACACTTTGTTGTTTGATGACATCTATACTAACCTTTTTCTGTATAGAAACGACATATTGAGTGTTGTGTTTTTGTTTTCTTGGTTTGTAGGAGAACATTATTTCTCCTCTTCATCATCAACTGAATGGTTTCCCAATATTGATATCTCTGAAGGCATTGCCTTTATCATCGGGTATGCTTGCACTGTTTTATTTGGATGTTAGAAACTGAATAGTGGAATTTAGTTGTTAAATTTCATTAATTTCTTTTCCAATTCACGAATCGTGAAAGTAACCCACCTATTTTGATGGAGAAGCACACACCAGCTGAAATTCCCATAGTTACTATGCTGAGCTTCAAGACTTGAGTTTATACCAGCAAAATGAGGTCATTTCCAGTACCATTTTCTACTTGCTGATCAAATATATATTCCACACATATCCATATTTGAATTGCCATTGTTTTATAACACAATGTTTATTCTATTGAAGGCAAAGTGGTGGATATGAAACCTATATGGTGTTACATGAGTTGTAGGTTTGGAAGGAAAGTTACAGATCATCATACCCATTGGCCACAACTTATAAGTTATATCATGAATTTCCTCTTTCAAAAGTGAAACAGAGTTTGCCCCTATGAAACTCCACCACTCTCCATCATTTATAGCTACTATGAACACTAGCCACTACGCAAATCTCTTCTCAAACTTTCTTTGAGACATCATTTTTGTTTTAATTATCAAGTCTTGAACGAAACCTAAACCAAAACTTCCCCTTCTTCCTTCAGATTCGCAGCAAGTAAGGTAACAGAGGCCAGCAATTACAAGGCTTCCCTGGTGGCTCTTTCATTGGAGAATTGTACCTATACGTTTGTTGCTCTTCTTTTTTTATGGTAAAGACTTGAATAGTATTCACTTGAATTTTAACAGATAGTATCAGCGATACTAATAGGAGTAGTAGGGTTAAATATTAGCAAGTAGTAGTTGGGTTGCATTTTGGAATATTTTTATCAATATTGTATTTTACTATTTTTCATCAAAAAATTCTCGGTTTTCATCGGATTGGAGTGGACTGGTTTACCCCATCCACCTATGACTAGCAACATTCAATCTATTATAGCTATGCCAGCACTCGAAATTTCCAAATTTTGAATTCTATTTTATAATAATTCTAGCTAATGAGACAACGATCATGCCAAACTCCAATTATTCTTTACTTTCAAAATTTCTATTTGAAAATAAAAAATAGTGAAAGAAAAGAGAAGACTGCAATTTGCCATTTTCACATCACTGCTTCGGGAACAAAACCATAGAAATTTGAAAGAAAAATGAAAATGTTTAGGATCGTTTTAATGTTATCAAATAAGCAAATGGATCTTTCTGTTTAGTTTTTTTACTAACAAATACTAACCGATTTCCTATAAAATACACTATAATTTAATCATTATGATATCAAATAATTACATAATATATATTTAAAATGATAAAAATTGGACTAATCGGGTTGGTCAAAGTTGAACCATTTAATAACTTTAAAATACATAATATTTTAGCCAATAAGATATAAAATAGTAGCATAATATATGTTTCAAATGAGAAAAACTAGGCTAATCGAGTTGGATCCTCGGTTAACCAATTAACCCTTTCCGTGAGTTGATGAATGGATTGTTCCATTCAAATTAATAACTTTGACGATAAGATGAAAGTTTTATAAAGAAAATTAATCAGCCAACGGGCCTAGTTAAAGCTAGCAACGATTATGAGATGCTCATTTCCCAAAGACCGGCGGAATAAGCGATTTTTTATTTGATTTTTATAAACTTACTCCACCTCAATATATTACCAGAAATAATACTGTTTCACAAAGTAACAGGTGCTCGAACTTGGTTTATAAGGTTGATTTTTGATTCGTGGCATCATCCATGTTACTTTCTTCCTTAATTCACTATCTTTATCACGCGTTTCCAAAAAAAACTATACAATAATAAATTATACACCCCATCATTCTAAATTTTATACCTCACCTCCTCCGGCCAACTGGCCGGGACTCCACGCTAGTGGCAATAATAGTAATGTTGTTGGGACCAACCTACCTACCATTGCTCTTCACATGTTAACGTTGAGACTTGAAGTTGAAAGGTTGACGATATTGGCCGAAGTTTGCTGAATTTACTAACTGGGGCCTACATGGCTAGATGGCAAGGATCGGTTTGGAAAAGTGACAAATTCCATGGACTTCTTTCGGGGAAACCAAAATTCAAGGACTCATTTGAAACGGTACCAAGTTCAAGGACCAAAAGTAGTATTAATTTTCTTTTGAAGAAAAGTAGAAAACAGAACAGTCAACAGAGGCATCAAAATCTCCAAAAGGGCAACTGGGAGTCATTTCATTATCCTTCCTGGCTTCCAACTCGGCAGCTTACCAGCCAACCTCAACATCCAGCCGAGATGAAATTGAGTGACTGAAAGAACGAGAAATGGATTCCACAGAATTCAAATAAACAGAATCAAATACGCTGGGAGGAGGAGAGGGAGTCCGGGAGCAACCACCAGCTCCGCCGCCACCTCGGTCGCAACTGCCAGCCATCCAACCCATTGCACGAAGACCCTTTTTGTCTTCCTCCGCAAAGCCCCAGCTGCCTCTTTCTAAAAGAAAGGAAACAACCCCTCTCTCCTTTTCCGCTCCCACTCTTCATTTCCCCATTTCACAGTCTATCAAGACGGTTTCTTTAAGAGCATATAAGTTCCACAATATTTGTCTTTGGCGGCAGTTGCTTGTTATGCCGTTAACTCAACCAATTCCATTGTCCCCAATACTCCATTGTTGCTCTGTTTGAAGATTCGGGAGGGTTTGGGTTTTAGGCGGGTAGGCGGGGCGAGGTCAGGCTCGCCAATGGAGATTGCATTCGAGTCCTCAATTCTGGGCCGACCCGTGTCCGTTTCAGGGACCAAGGTTTCATCTTTGCTGCATTACAATCGGATTTCAACGCTACCATGCAAGGTCTCTAGCAAGAATTATCACTACCCGGCTCCGCTTTCCTCAAATTTTGTCAATCCGTGCAGTTGCGTAACTGCTCCGAGTAATTTTAGTGTTCAGAGAACCCGCGTGTTTGATAGCGTGATAGCTAGTTCGAGCTTGATAGGGAAAGATAGGGGAGACTGGGTCGCCGAAGGTAATGTTGCCCCGGATGTGAACTTGGAAGCGATCATGGTGCTGTTGAAAAGGGGTGTCATTTTGGGAGCAATGGTCTGTGGGATAATGATGTTTGGATACAAACGTGTGTTTGCCGCTGAAGGAGTGGCGAATCCGGGCTATGGAGTTAGTGGGCAAAGCATTCTGTTGCTGAGGAACTCTTGGCCTAGGCTGCAGATGCTCCTTACTGTTTTCAAAGAGCAGGGTTTGATATTGGCAGCACTTTTGGGTTTATCTGCATTTTTCTCTATGGCTGAGACTTCCATAACCACGCTGTGGCCATGGAAGGTACGTTTTATATAGCTCAAGAATTGGGATGATCTACTTTTGTAGAAATGCATTGGTTTTGTACATTAAATGGTCGAATTTGACTAGTGAATATCAATTTGTCTATTAAGCTTGTGAGACTTGATTACTCCAGCTCAATATTTTCTTTTACCATTATGGTTCCTTAAGTTGGAAATCTCTGTGAACTTGTCAGGTACGTGAACTGGCAGAAAAAGAGACCGATGATGGTGGTGTCTTCAAACTGCTTCGCAAAGATGTCACCCGTTTCCTGACCACTATTCTCATAGGCACAACGTAGTACTCTTTCCTTATTATTGTTTCTATTTGTATTCAAAATTCTTTTTCTATCCGTTGATTCTATTTGTGCTCTTAGTGTTGTCAATATTGCGGCCACTGCACTGGTCACTGAGGCAGCCACAGCAATATTTGGTGAAGCTGGTGTCAGTGCAGCCACGGGAGTGATGACTGTATGTAAAGCTCTCTCCCCCCTCCCTCTCTGCATTCTGTTCCTACTAACTAATCTCTTCTGAACTATCTAATTTGGCTTAAATGATAGGTTGCTATATTGCTGCTCACTGAGATTACTCCTAAGAGTATAGCCGTTCATAATGCCACAGAGGTTGCTAGGTTTGTGGTAAGTGCATAGATGATTGCAGAAACTTGTTCCTGCCCTCCTATTGCTAACTCAAGTGTCTAAGTTAGTGTTGTCTATAATGCATGTAGGTCAGGCCAGTGGCTTGGCTTTCACTGATTCTCTATCCTGTAGGGAGAGTTGTCACTTACTTGTCGATGGGAATGCTGAAAATGCTTGGATTGAAAGGAATAAGGTGAGTTCTGTCCTGCTTCTTGACATCCTCTTGTAACTTTTGTGGCTTTCCTTTTTGTAATTTCTTATGCATTGCAATGTGTTTTTGATATGTTTGTTTTTCATATTATCATTTTACGATGACTGGCACAACCTCTTATCCACACTGGAAGAGAGGCAGTGAAGTTTGGATGTCTGTAATAAGCCCATTAATTCTAGGCGAACATGAGCATGGCCCGAGTGGGCATATTTTTGGATCCATACAATGCGCTTTATTTTCAAGTTTCTTGATCTGTCTTTTGGATGGACTGGTCACTGTCTCTAGGGTCAAGGCGACTCTGTTGCGAGATTTATTTGCTGTTTCGAAAGCTACTTTCTTGTTCTTCTTGGTCAGTTTGTCTTCAATGGTATTTCAATCCTAGAGGAATGATAATTGGACATTCTCATGAAGGAGCTATTTCTGTACTGATGAAGATCATGTCATGGGCCTGTCAGAATATTTTTTAGAGCTAGTTGGAAACAGCTATGTGCCAACATTTGTTTTTATCCACTGTGAAGTAACTGCCCCTGTGTGAGTCGAATTTCTTAAGTTCTGCACTCCATTATTTTTGGTAGGATAGTAAACTGATGAATAGCACTCATGTTCATGCACTCTTATCCTCTCCTTTTTCAGTTTTATTTTCAGTTTTCCTACATACCTATTCCTCAAAATCAATTTGTCATAACGTTCAGTGAACCGTACGTGACTGAGGATGAGCTAAAGCTGATGTTGCGAGGTGCAGAGCTAAGTGGGGCAATAGAGGAGGAAGAGCAGGTGATATTACAAGCCATTTAATTTTTCTTGAATTTGAATTGCCCTTGATACTTTTTCTGTGTGCCTTCATGGAGCATGTACTGTCAATTTATCCGTACCTATGAGTGAGCACCATATTGATGATATGTGTATGTTAATATGCCTGGTGCAATGTGCATTTATCCACCCTGTCCGAAAACAACGTTAACCTAATGATATTGGTCCTATCTGCGAAAACCTTTGAGAAATGGGTAAAGGTGCTTTTTTCTCAAATGAAGATAATAAACTTTTTGCAGGATATGATTGAGAATGTGCTGGAGATTAAGGATACACATGTTAGAGAAGTGATGACACCTCTTGTTGATGTTGTTGCAATTGATGCAAGTGCAACACTCATTGATTTTCATGAATTGTGGGTGACACATCAATATTCTAGGTAAGCAAATGTGTGTGACGGTCTGTGCTTCTGATTGAAGTTTTACTTACTAAGCTCAGGTTTCTCTCGACATTTTTAGGGTACCTGTTTTTGAACAGCGTGTGGACAATATTGTGGGTATTGCCTATGCAATGGATCTGCTGGATTATGTACAGAAGGTTGGGCAGTATCTGCTTCCTCTCACTCCCTCTTCAAAGTTGATGTAGTCTGTTATTTGATCATGGAAAAATCTCATAGTTGCAGAATGATCATCTGTTTAATTTTGAAGGGTGAACTACTAGAAAGCACCATTGTGTGGGACATGGCTCACAAACCTGCATATTTTGTACCGGGTAAACTTGGTGTTTCATCCATTCAAGTTGCATGAACTTTGTTAATAGATATTGCACTTTCTATTCTTTATGTGTTATTATTTCTTTTGTGTGGAGCAAGCATAGGTAGCTACCATTTAAGTCTGCCCGCTCTGCTTTCTTTGAGTTTTCGTGACCAAAATTTATAGATGAAAATAATAATCTCTTTAGATCTTTTTGATTCATTATGACTTCTTAATATATGTGTTAGATCCATTTCAGTTTTGATATTTTTGGTTAATGCATTTTTCCTTATGTTTGAACTTATGATCCTTATCACTTCTATTCATAGAAATGAGTTCATTTCTTTGATTAATGTTAAGGTTGCTGCCACTACAAGGACTGCTGGACTTTGCTTTGAGTTTTACCTTTGCATCTAGCTAGAGGAATGTTTCTAGCTTGCATGCAATAGTGTTTGCATTGTGATTCTTTTTTTTTCTTTCTTTAAATGAAAGTCTAAATCTTAATCGTAGAAAATATAAATTATGATCCCGTTTAGTGCTTGTCTTTAATCTTTGGTTCCAATGGAAAGTCAAGAATTTATTTGCTTCTAGAATGAGTGCATTAGTCAGATATAACCATAAGCCCCAATGGCATTGAGTAGTTCAGCTTTGCTTATTCAATTTTATTTTCTAATGTATATGAGGTTAGTTTCTTCCAATTCTTTCATTTGTCAATTTTTTCTGAACCAGACCATTCTGAACTCCCTGATGGACCTAAGTTGTTTTGTTATCATCAACTGTCTGGCGGAAACTTAAGATATTCTAGATTCGCGAGAATGCTGAGCTAGAGAATTTGAAGCATAGGTGACAGTATCAATCAAGGTCTACTACATCAATACAAAGGACATTACCGGTTTCACGGGTTTTTGTTGCTTGGTCCATTTTTATTTTGTTTGTTGTTGTCAAAATATACTATCCACCACATTGCCTACTGAAAACTAGCTGTCCAATTGAAAAGCTTCATGATTGAAATTCAATCTGTTGACCATATTATGTTTCAGTAGTGACGGATGGCTTAGTTTCAGTGCTTTACTTGTTTGTGTTATTGTGGAAAGTAATGTGGGAGAATGCAATCCTTGAATTCATTTCTGATATAAAATGTTGGTTGCTGCTGTTACTTTGTTTGTGTTCATCATAATTTTTTGCTGACGAAGTGCGTAATTTCTTTTGCAGATTCAATGTCTGTCTGGAATCTTCTCAGAGAATTCCGGATCAGGAAGGTTCACATGGCTGTTGTCCTTAATGAATATGGCGGTACTGTTGGAGTATGTACTAAATTGACCTCATTGCATATGCAGGAATACAATTCTCCATTTCATTATGGATGGCAAGTAAAACTACTTGACTGTCGATTTACGCTGCGTGATTGGAGCTAGGTCATTAATAGTGGTTAGACATTGACTAAAGAGAATCGGGTCCAACTTTTTATGGGGATATAGCAATCTTTAATTGACAAAACCCACGGTAGTGACTGGAAGTGTGTGTACTTGGTGGAGTTTGTTACGGAGAAAATTGACCAAGACTTAACTATTAGATCCAAGAGTTGTTTTTCAGTAAGACAATAATTGACTGAGGGTTGGAAAGGAAAATACTGAGCAATGCTTGACCTCTTTGTGAAGAAACTAATTATTTTTTATTCAGTTGTTCCTTAATAGATGCCATAACATGATATCAGTTGTTTCAGGCGGCTAACTCTGCTAGATAGCATGTCTTAGTAGTGATTAATGGTGTCTTGATGCCACTAAATGATGTCTAGTTTAATATGTCGATAAGTCCTTGGATGAAAATGGAGATCTGTATGTTAATATCTGAAGGGATGCAGATATCTCATGGATCATGCATTCTCTAAAAAATCCTGGAAAAGCTCAAATGCTATTTTTACATTTCAAGTAGGCCAATCACCTGAACAGTATATCCACTTGTTTATTTATTGCCTTCTTTTATATGACTTCATCTTTTTTCTTGTTTATTATGGCAATAATATAGTTGGTAACCCTCGAAGATGTTGTTGAAGAGATTGTCGGTGAAATATTTGACGAAAATGATTCAAAGGTAAATGTGTAACATTCGTGTGCATTCTGATAGCCCTATATCTACTCGTTCATGCACGATCTTGTCCAATTGTTGGTACATAAGCAGTCGTGTAACAATTGGGAACCTTTTGTTTTGATACTTAGTAAATACTAGAATGCCCAGTTTTTGACATCCTTATAATGGTTAATGTCATGTATTTTCTTATAGAATCCAAATTGTACTGCTCATGTGCTTTTCATTTTATGGTTATACCCGTGTTTTTGAATCATAACTTGAGTTGATTACTGACAATGTCCTATCACAGGAGGAGATACAGAAGAAAACTGGATACATAGTAATGCGAGCAGAGGGAGTGTACGATGTTGATGCCAATACATCCATTGATCAACTCTCTGAAGATCTAAACATTAAAATGCCAGAGGTATGTCATGAATGGTTTGATTTTAGTTGAGGGAAACAGAGTAAGTATGCCGATGGCACCTTAGAGCTGTCCATGATATTATGAAGCTTTCCATGGTCAGCCAGGCAACTTATACATTTGGTTTGCCTCAACTGTTGCTAGGTCTTTTTTCCCTAGCATTTATTAGGCATATTACATGCATATACAAACGCTTACATTATCTCATTCAAATGCGTTTACAAGGTTTGTGAGCAGAACATTGCATTACCTTTATAATTTATGCAGGAAAACAGATGATATTGTTAGTAACATGAGCAGTATTTTGACACAATATGCTCTTTTACTTGGTTCTTGAACATAAAATCAACATTGCTTATAGATAGATGCGCTGACTTATGACCTCCCGGCAGCTTTCAGTATTTGTGTTGCTGAGCAATCCATATTTCTAGTTGTGGTAATCCAATTATTATGCTTTCTAGTTGTGAAAAAGTTAATCATGTTAAAGGCAAAAAAGATAGTATCTGAAAGTGTGTTAATTAATTACATTACAACCTTGAAGCTTAATGTCATCTAGTCTGTTCCCATGCTTTTTCATTCATCTCATTATTGTCTTCCATTGACATCTTCCTCCAAGGAAATTAAACCACGTAGCATTTTTTGGGGAAAAGAAAAAACAAAACGAAACAACCAAATAACCTTTAAATTGCCACCTTTTTTGCTTTAATTTTTACATGGCTTCAGAAATGGTTGCAGATTCCTGAAGAACATCTTATAAGTTCCACATTTGTATTCCTCCTCCAATACCCTTTTTTCCTGTGGTATAGGGTCTTCAGTATGAGACAGTATCAGGTTTTATATGCGAAGCATTTGGATACATTCCAAGGACTGGCGAAAGCATCAAAGTGGTTCTTGACAAGTCGAATGAAGAAGATGAGGATAACGAGGACAAGTCTGAAAGAGAACTGAATGAAAAGCATCTAATATACAAGCTTGAGGTATGACTAAGGAAGCTTTTTTTTTTTTTTTGAACCTCGGTCTTGAATGAAAGCCTTGGTTAGAATGTGGCATGGAACAAACTAAAGATTATAATTTTTATGGTAAAATAATATTCTGAAACATATAATTTGGTAGACGGTATAGAAGGCAATATTTTGGTTAGTCTTTGGTCAATTAAGTTTTAAGTTTATTGACGCCATGTTAACTGTGGTTTGGGCATGGTTGTCAATCAAACACACTTAAGATAAAAAAAGTGCTAAAATTCTTTACCATTTGCTTACAAATCGTGATATCAACAATCTTAGGAAATGCTCATAGGATCCCATCACATAACATATAGAGAACCATTTATCATAAATGGTTATTTTTACAACCTACGTAGCTACCTTAGAATTCAATAGTGAACTCATCCATTTTAATCCGAAGCCTCGTTTCTCTGGAACAACTGGACAGTTTGGATCTATTGTTTCATCTCTGTTTTTATGGCATGCGAAACTGATCTTGTTTCTTCAAGAAAAGGACTCGTCATTTGCAAAGTGGTGTCGGACATTATATGTTGAATTTCCTGCATGAAAGCATTTATAAAAAAGGCAAAGGAAGGCTACATTTCATGGTGAGCTCAGTTATAGACCAATGCAATTATACGTTGTTGTTTGTGTTCCTTTCATTTAGATATTAGCTGGAAATGCGCGGAAGGTCGGTGCAGTTCGTTTTGAGAGGATACACAATAGCGAGGAGGCGGTGGAGGCCAAAGAAGTAGCTCGCATGATTCCAAAGTTCAGGAAGAGGAAATGGAGCAGCAGCGGTGAAGAGTCGGATTATGAGGAGGATTCGTTACAAGATAGACCTGTGCATGCTCTTCAAGATTCCAATGTAATTGCTGAACATGAAGAAGAAGAAGAAGAAGAAGAAGAAGAAGAAGAAGAAGAAGATGATGATGATAATGATGAGAATCCCCGTAGACATTAGAAATTAGATTACTATCCACTCTTTTTTCCCCCTCCTTGTTTCTCATATTTCTTGAGGTTGAGGTTTCTTTTTTGTGCGTTGACTTTTACAATTCCCAGTGAAAGAGGTCACTAAAGAAAAACACACTTTAGAAACACCAGCAGCAGGAAAGAAAGACAAATGCTGAGGAACTCTATTGTAAAAAAAAGAACAAAAAGTAGTTTCAGAGATGAAGAGAGGTATCAACATCTGAATCATCAAAGTAGCTGTAATGAGTTTGCATCATTAGGAGATCCGAGGAGCGTAGACTCGCCAAATCTGGGATCTCTCTGACTTGAAGATCAAGGTTACATTGTCCATATATTGGTTTCTTGGATGGGGTCAATGGCTGCTGCTTAGATGGAAAGAGAAGCTCAAGGTGAGAAAAGTTGTCTGGTGGATCATAAACAAGCATGGTGGTGGCGACTGGTTTCACTTGCTCTGCTTCAGCGAGGAACTGGAAGAACTCGCGCTGCTGCCTCGTCTCCCTGGCCCTCTCTAGCTGCCGGAACCTTTCCTGCAGCAAGGCAATGGAAGAAGAGCGCATGATGGTTGCAGTGGGTTCACAGCTGTGTTGCCTATCCATGAAAGAAGAACTGATATCAGTGATATAGGTCTGGTGCAAGATTGATTGATAACAAAAGGAAGGTTGGAAGGAAGAAGGGAAGGTAAGGAAGTTCTGTTGTTATGTTTGCATTGCTTGGCTTGTGAAGCAGCCATGTTGGTCACTATATATAGGCCATGACAGGATGATCAGTATTGGTGTTAGATTTTGAATGACGTATGAGAGAGAGGGTAGCAAAGCAGATTCGGCAGCCGAGTCACTAAGTCCAATGAGGAAAAGCCATGGATGGATGGATGTGGCGTACCTCAAAGAAAGAGGGAAGCCAGCAAAGTTTGGTGGATGCGGGGAAGTGGCAGATGGAGTTCCTTCTTCCTTCATTTCCTTGCTTGAATTACAAGGTAAAAGTAAAACAAAGAAGCAGTCCAAGGAATGGAATGTAGCAGTTGGAAGGGCATTAGGAGTGGGAATCGAAAGGGTTTGTTGGTCGAGTTCTACTGTCGGCTTGTCTCCATAAGCTAGGTTAGTTGCCTCTCCTCGTTTCTTGGGTTTTCTTTCCTCCACTCTTGTTCATTTTTACAGCAAGGAACAAATAACTGGTTACTGTTTTCACTTTAGGGGTGGTTTGGAATATGAGCATTTTTATTGTGCTATAAAGCATAGGTGCTTTAATGTACAACTTTAAAGTTGTACCATAACGTAAAATGTATAAATTTGGGTTGTACCATAAATGAATTTATACCCTTATGTTATGGTACAACTTCACAACTTGAAGTTGTACCATCACATAAAGGTACAAGTTCAAGTTGTATCATAAAAGAATTTGTAAAATAGTATAGGTACAAGCTGAAGTTATACCATAACATTAAATGTACAACTTGAAGTTGTACCATAAAAGTAAAAACCTATAGCACCAATACTATATAGCATTGTAAAATTTCTCTTGGAACATTTGATTCTGGAAACGATGTATTACGAGAATGTGTGTATTAAAGATTATGTGTGATAAGGATTGCAATTATACGAATGAATGGATCCACTTTCTTGACGAGATTGAGCTAATTTTTCTCTTTTCTTGGCGTGAAAAGTACCAGGGTTTCTACTACTAGTTTTCTGCTTCTTGTTATTGAATCCAATCTCAACTTAAATACACAAAGAAAATGGAAAAGACCTATCACTAACTCAACGTACATGTGCTGCTATTTCTCCACTTAAGGTGGAGAGGTTTATTGACTCTCTGACTACACTCTCTAACAACCCATGACTCTCTAACTAACTCAACACTACTAACTAATTCACATAATGGAAACTCTAATAAATATACGCATTAATGTGTATATTAAAAATGTGTGGTTTTGAAATTCATTGTTTGGAACCCATATAAGAATGCATGGATTGTAGTTTAAATGAATTATGGATACTAAAATCTCACCAAAAAGGTAAGATTATAAATACATTATTTTCTATGTATTAGGATTTAGGAATACAACATGGATTATGAATACATGCATTCTATTATTACATCAAGTCAAAAAACGTTGTATTCTCAGGATACATGTATACCGAGAATACAACATCTGAAATCAGAAGTTCCAAATCAGGCCTTAGCTCTAAAAACTTCTGCACTTTGCCAATCTTGTTAGACCGAGGCTCTGGCTACTAAGAGGGACTTGTAAGACCTCGTTGGATTGCGGTCTCGGTTATTTCTCACTTTCTAAGCGACGAATATCTTCTCTCTAAAAAACGTAGACCAGGAAATCGGATCGTACCGGCTGGTTCAACCGGTTCAACCGGAAATTGGACCAAAAGCGGTACGGTGGGCTGATTGTGCTGATTTTACCGTGCCGGCCGGTTTTTTCGGTTTGACCAGTTGAACCGGTTGAACCGGCCGGTATGATCCGGTTTCCTGGTCTATGATTCAGCTTCATTTCTCCGTATTCTCGTCCAATATGTGGAAAATAATTAAAAAGAATATTATTTTGCTATTTTTCTATGTTGAAAATGGGTCACCGTGATTGTATAATGCTCTATTTGGTTCTTTTTTTTATGAATTATATTTTTTATACTATCGCATTTCATTTCTCTATCAATAGTGAAAAATGGTATTTAACGGTACAAAACGATTGAACCACGGTCGTACCACAAAATACCATACCAGAAAGGAATCCGGTATGATGTCCGGTACGGTTTTCTTTACCATGCTAAAAAATGTGGCAGAGGACCAATTAAAAGAGTAAGTTTCTTTGTTGGAAGGCCTGTAATGCTTGGTGTCATCTGTAATGTCTCAATTTTTCACCTTACATTTGCTTGCTTGTGAATTATGATCAATTATCGACTTTTAAATGATTTTTTTATTCATACACCACTATTAGTGTCTTCGCGATCCTCACAAATCTTTTGGGCACACAATCAGCGGCGGATCCAGAACACAGAAGAGCACTGGGCCGCTTTTCATTAGAAAATTAGAACCGTAAAAAAATATAATGATTATAGTTTTTTGCAATGTAAATTGTACACAACTGTATTTTAATTTAGGGAATGCATCAATAATGAAGTCTACATCCATACCAATAGTATACACTGTTTCAAATAAAATACGTGAGCAATCGGCGAGAAATTCATCGCTCATTTTGTTGAGCAAATCAGTTCTCACATGTTTCATTGTTAAAAAGGTTCTCTTCGTAGTAGCTGTTGAGACGAGCAACATTAACACTAGATAAATCAATCGACTAATCAATTTACATTGTGTGTCCATCCATGCACACCAACTGCTTTAGTAAATTTGTAAGGGAACAAACCTCATATTTCTTTTAGTCTTTTACGTTTTTAACTTTTTAGAATTTTAGGTTTCATTGTTTTTTTAAGACGCATAATATTTTGGGGCTAAAATTTCTAGGCTAAATTTAGAATAGTGATTTGAATATGTTCAACTTGATAATTTTTCTAGTTAAACCCAATCTTATCATAGAATAACACTCGATTGAATGTCTAAAATCAAAAATTTCATAAGGACTATAGTAACTACGGATCCAGAGGAGGGCTGGGCCGGGGCCTGGGGTGGCCACCCCCTTGATCCGCCAGTGCACACAATAGATATCATTGTGGACAGGGCCGGCCAAGAGAGTGTGCCTGCCTGCCCTCCGACACAGGGCCTCCACTTAGATTCGTTAGTTACCGATCGAATATTGCAGGTTATTTTTTTAGTGTATGATTGATAGATTATGAATATGATGACGAATTTAATAGATAATATTAGCTATAATAACAATTGAAAAGGATCTCATGGAGAATACGAAAATCAGAGAGATAATAGATAATTTTAATTTAAACAACAAAGAAAGATATTACATTTTGAATAATGGTATTATAATTATTTTAGTTTTATTATAGTTAAAAGTGAATTTGGATCATGTCTCAATTTTGGAATAGGGCCTACACGATCCATTAGATGGACCCGCACCCACCTCTCGATCAATTTATATTATTTTCATTTCCCCATTCAATTTTTGCTCTATATCCATATTCTGTTTCCTCCAGATTTACTTTTCTCCCTCCCTGCTAGGAGTGAGAATTTGGTCTTGGTTTCTTGGTCAAACAGGAAGTGAGATTGTTTATTCATTTTGAAATCATTTTCTGAACTTATGTACTTTATAATTATTTAATAAATTTTATTTTTAATAAATTTATTGAGAAAAAAATTAGGGGTCACATGTTAAATTTTCGAACAGGGCCTCCAAATATCATGGGACGGCTCTGATTGTGGAAGGTAAAATGTTCACTGTGGTTGTCTATATTCTATGGTTCGAGAATCCTATCGTTGCTTGTTGGATTGGCCGGATTATGCAATATCGATGCATACTGTCAACGACATCAACAATCCTTGCCTCTAGCATTAGAGGGCTTGGATTAACTAAAAAGGTACTGTTCTCGGGCAACTTCTCAGAAGTTCATTCAACTCCTAAATCGTTTGCCAAAATTTGACACTGTAATTAGACATCCACATTCCACAGTTTGAAATGGTTTCGATTTTGTTGGATGTACCTGAAGGAACATGATGAACATGGTTACACATCGTTTTTAATATTATCTTGTTTCTGTTTGAGGATTCTACTGCCTCTGGTTTCTGTAACTCACTCTTTTTCATATTAATTAAACCAATAGAAATTGAATCCTTCGCCAAACAAAAAGGAAGATTGAAAAGGTAAAAACCTTTGATTAGTGGAATTTGGAATGAGGATGAGGATGTGGAAGACACGACAAAGCCTCCAACTGGGAATAACTTTAGGACTTGCTGAATGCGCTCACCCTCTCCCCCTCACATATTTTACATCAAGAAATGCTGTTTCTTTTAGCTAATCGATAAAGATATGTAGCGATTCTGCCCTTGAAACAATTAGTGCTAACTGTCAAAAAAAAAAAAAAAAACAATCAGTGCTACAATATTAGCTACAATATTATGATATCATTATCAATCTAATAGGTTGATATCAACAAGTTCATGGTTGAAATGATTAAATTGTTTGACTCGCTGGGAAGTATTAGAGTTAAAATAATATTTTCATCGAGAATTCTCTAAAATTGGTCTTTTACAATTATAAAAAAGTAACTAATAAGTTTATATACGTGGACATTATACAATTTTATCATATATAGGAAACAAGAGTTTTGGTCCAATGATATTACCATTAGTTTGTAACTAGAAGGTCTCACGTTCGAATTTTTTAAGTAACACCTAATTATAAAACAAACATATATTCCCCTAATCTAAAAAAATTTATCATGCATATGCGATGTCATAAATATCCATGGGTCATCAGTTAACAAAGGATGGCAACGATTTTCTTAAAAAATTTTGATTTGTTATAATTAGAATGAAATATAGTTGGCAACATCGAAGTCACTTTGGCCGAGTGGTTAAGGCGTGTGCCTGCTAAGTACATGGGGTTTCCCCGCGAGAGTTTGAATCTCTCAGGTGACGATAATAACATATTTTAATTGTCTAGTTAAATCATATATTTTAATCTTTTATTCATTTGGTCGTTATAACTATAAGTTTATAACTTGCATATATTGGCAACCCAACTATGAATCAAATCCTTTAAGTTTGCACAAATTCACTATACCAATATACATTTCTCTATTCGATCTATCTCGGTACAATTCTTATTGTTAACTACAAAAACTATCTCATGAAATGTATACGTTCATCATCACTCGTTAGAAACACTCTTTCTTTCGATACATGTACACGTAGCCAGCTGAGGTTTTTTTTTTTTACATGTCTAAGTTCATCTAAGAAAACATGACACCAGATCAGTAATGTTGTGTAGTTGTATACCCAATTAGTACACTGTTAATGTTGTGACGACAATAACATATTTTAATTGTCTAGTTAAATCACATATTTTAATCTTCTATAAATTATATTTACATAAAAGGAATTAGTGGATTGCTTATATCTTTCTCCCATATTCCATATATCTTTTTCAAGATATAAAGTCGTTTTCCAAAATATACTTCATTTTCATGATTGTGGTAATTATTCCAAACACATTAATTGAAAAATTGAAATTGAATTCTAATAAAAAGATTTGATGTGAATAACCATTTGATCGCTAAAAGACCTATCTATGAATCAAATACATTAAGTTTGCACATATTCACTATATCAATATGCA